ATTTGATGATTAATATGCATGAGCAGCAGTACTTCATCCAATGATATTTCAGATTGTGCAGGACAAGCCAGTGCAATGCTGCAGAAAAAGAAACCAAGCAACCACCAAAATGTAGTGTCACTCATCTGCTGTTGTGCTCGGTTATGACAAAAAAAAAAAAAGATTGTTAAAATACCTTTTATTGCTAACTGGTTTATCGTGTCACGTCTGGATAAAACATGTTAAAAGGCTAGCTTGACCGTAGTCTAATTTTCATTTAATTACAGTATGAGTTGCCTGGGAAGCTTCCCCAACACATGGTGGCCTATCTCAGCAGAGGTTATACAACTTATTTGTTCCTCTTTTGAACTCTGCCCACTGATACTAAAGGCTTCAAATATTGAACTAAGAAGCAACCGCTCTTGAACACAGACAGATATATACTTGATAAGAGCGGGCCACACCAAGGGAGCAACAGGTCATATAGTTCATTCTCTGGAGCACGTTAATAAGTGATGCAATGCGTCACTGCGATGCTGACAAAGCACTGAGATATTTCTCAAGCAAACAAAAAGAGCAAGTCTAAACACACAAGCCTGAAATAGCTGGAAGGGCTATTTATAGAGTTCATACCTACACTCTGTCTACACCAATGACTCAATGAGAAAGAGTGATGAATCCACAATTGTCACAATCAACCGGCTAGCTAATTAATGTGCACACACCGTGACCATTGTGTTCCTAAGAGACGAACCCAAATGCAAAAGGTGCCACTATCATCATATATGCATCATTACGACACGCAATGGAAATAATTGTGGCTCGCATAGAAAATGGCAATGCCTGCCATGCATCATAAACAAGAAAGAGCATAAATTCTTAAAGTGAGTCAGTCTGCGTCATTCTTGAGAAGACCGGACAGCTAGGTAAGATGTAGCGAAATGTAATCTGAGGAGAAGGGTGACCGCTCAGAGGGCCAGTACAGGGAGTCTTGGTTATGTGTGCTGATTTGATCCAACAGTTAAATGGATGTAGTACATCATGCTTTGACTGTTGAGCAGTACATTAACAAGGCCTGACATACAAGGAACCTTCCCAGAGCCTCGTTGCGGGACCCTGAGTATAAAGTGAGGCTCTACCCGTTTTATCAAGACTTCAGTTTTCAAACTTTCAAGATGTTCATAATCTCCACTTAATGGCATTACACTTCTGGTGGAGAACATGAATGCAGAGTAGCCTCTAATACAAATACCAGTGGTAACAAATAAATGCAGGAATTTCCCTTATTGAAATGATTACTAAAAATACTCCACTACGCTTGGTATATAACCTGGAATGTTCTGAAAACAAAAGGAGAAAGCGTTAATAGCTGGCTGCTTACCTTGCTTACCCATGACTGAATCTCAGAGGTATTTGTAGTGTTTGATGTGACCTTGTTTGGAAAAAATGGTGACTGCAAAACATGCCATCCCATGCTTGTTTAGGCGGCAAAGTCTCATTCCAGGCAGTAGACCGTTGCCAACAATGGCAAATGTACAAAGTCATAAAACTGCAAAATCGAATTTTATGTTTGACATTATACAGCGGCAGTTAACCAAGGTGCCAATGTTTTATTTTTGACATTTAACAACAGGTCACTTACCGCTAACAATAAGTTGATCAACAACCGCAGGTTTAAAACACAGCAGTCCACAAGATGTAAAAAAGGCCCTCATGCGTTCATAGAAGTATTTGACTTCCTCTAGTCGTGATTTGCTTGTACGAGGGCCTTGTTTGGTTAACCAGACCCTACAGTTCACTAGAAGCAGAAGATAAGGAAATGTTAAGGACTGTTTTCACCCACATGACTGCTCCCAATGCCAAACATTTGCCAGTTAGTCCAGGTTTCCTGTCACAAATGTATGTAGGTATTACCTAGTCAAGCTTTAGATAGCCAAACTTCCTCTCAGAGATTAAAAAACGACCTGGCTCATTGCCGCTAGCAACTCCTTCAGCAAGAAACAATCATAAATATTTATTTCTCAGGATTGCGAATTCCATCCAAATGAGACACAATATAAAATGATCGCCCTGCTGATGGACAACCATATTCAGGTTCATCTCCAGTTCTCCTGTGCAAAACACCAACTCAAGATTTTCACACCACAAAGTTGAGAATGTTGTTTATGCTGATTTTGGAATTTGAAATGGAAAACCGCCAAGCAGACCGGACATGGAGGCTTTTATCTCCAAATGGGTCGTGAGGAGTTTGAGACTCGGCCAAATGTCAAACAATAGCATTTGCATTTATTAGAGCAGCACTGATCCAAACATTCTGAAATTAAAACAAACTTCTCAGTCACCCTAGCTAAACATACGCAGCAAGGGAACATGTATCAAATGTTCTGGCTGGTGATATGAACTTTCAGATCTGAAATACTATACAAACAAGTTATGGATTAAAGTTACAGTGGGACATACACAAAAGGCTGAGGCCCGCTTAAAGGTGTTTGCAATGGATTGCTCATTTGCAAAGTCAGCAGCAATGAATTACTGACAAATTACTCTGAGCCGTAGTTTGGGCCAGGCTTCATAGACGTTATCAGCACCCATCACAATGACAGGGGGAAACAAAGTTTAGGTTTAGAGTGGAGAGCTGGGAGGCTCCGCAAGTGTCCAATAACTCACAGCAAGCTGCTAAATGTACACGGTGGAACAATGAGCCCTATAAATTTGAAGCCACAGCAGGAAGTACAGGGAAACATCCTACGGAAGTCCAAATGTCTGGTTTACTGCATATCTTTTCTCAAAGCAGTTCAGGGATGGTTTGGGACCTGTTTGACATGTCCAAGAGGTGCGAGACATATGGTTGGACACCATATCAGGCATAAATGATAGTTTCAGGCGATGGGACCCTGGCTAAATGTGCTTAGACAGCAGGTCATGGCCATTAACTGCCTTCACACTTACACACCAGATAGAGTGCTCAAACGGCATGCCATGCTCCCTCGCTTATGCTCACTTCAACCCTAGACAGAATAAAAATAAAGTGTCAAAATGATAATTTAACCAGCCCCACATTCGCATTCTTGCAGTAACAGCCCCAGAGGGACCATGGGGCAATAGTGTGTATACTTGCACACTTATCTCTCAAAGACACCCTAACATTAAGTCTTGGCCTGCGCCCACTTCCCAAACTACTTTACCTTGGCACAGCACAAGAGGCTAATGACAGGATGTCTTCAGCCAAAGCAGACATACTGGTCAGGCTCCAACAGTAACTAACCGCGGGGCAGTGGAGCAGGCTGGTGCGCAGACATTCACAGCTCCAGACAGTATGCCAATGGCATACTGCGCTAACAAGCCTCCCTTTGCTCATGCGGGGGAATGTGGCGGGTTGAAAGGGCGAGAGATAGCAGTGGTCACCAGGTGAAACTTATGTAAGCTTATATAAGTCAGTTGGCACATTTTGGAGGCCAGTTGTTATAATCAGCTGATGAAGTGTCTTTAACTAGAGAAACAGCTGTACCATGTTCTCCATCATCTACATCACATGATATAGAATGTTAGTCTGCAAACCACAGTCATTATAAATCATGAAACAGAGAAAATATGTATAATATTATCTCAATCTGTTAGTGATCAAACTAAGTGCCTTCCAGTCTTGATTTATGTGAGAGTTGCCTGGAGGAGAACACGCTTTGAACAGACATTTCACATACATTATATAAGGAAGGCATGTGAGTGAACTGATGGAGTGACATTTAACGATGGATTTTAGATTACAGATTTTTCTAAGTTACATAACTTGGCTGAAGTTGTATCCATGTAAGCAAATGTGGTTGCAAACATGCCAGTTTGCACAAATGGACCAACAGATCACTTACAAAAGAGGTGCTATGACGTTTCTATGTTTATGGACAATGATAAAACAGTTAATACCATGTTTTGTAGTCACATAGTCTGGCTAGGTTAAGATCTACATAGCAAATGTGGTTCCAATAATGCCAACTTTGTAAAAAATAAATAAATAAAATGATTAACCAACTTTTCAAAAAGGTACCATGGCATTGCCACCTTTTTTGTACAGCAGTACGATGGCAAACACATTCTTGTCTACTTTAGTTACAAAACATATTTAGGATACGGTCTGTAAGTAGCCTAAATATGGTTACAACTCCAAGTCAGCAGAAATGGGACGACAGAAGTTACGCAAGTAGCACAGTATTATAGTTTTAAATATTTTTTGGAAACTAATATGGTAATGCCACAGTATTCTTTGAAATACATGTAAATACATGGAACACTAACAGTCAATTCTTCAGTGTCATGGTATGCATCAAAAGTATCATGACGAACTAAACATTACAATGGTTTTATGGACACGGCACCATGGTAATACCATGTTTTTATACTTCATTTACAAAACCTGGCTAAAATATAGTTGCAACTCAGTATACGGTCCAACAGATCACTGACACAAAAGTAACACTGTATAACTATGTTGGACATGGTCCCATCGGTAAGATCGTAGGATTTATTTGGAAACTAGCATGGTGGTAATACCATGGTATTTTTAAAAGTACATTGTAAATACATGGCATATTAATATGGCAATCCTTCAGTATCATGGTATAAGTCAAAGTAGCATGGCCAAGTATCCATTATCATGGCTTTAAGGACATGATGCCATGATAAAAGTTTTAAAAGTCCTATAAAAGACTCATGGTATTGACACCTTTATTTGTACAATGGACAATGCTTGTCTGTTTTACTTGCCATTGTAATACCATGTTTTTATACTTAATATACAAAGTTTGGCTAAGTTTTGCCAACATAAAAATGTGGTTGCAATAAAGGCAACCCAGTAGATTCTTATACAAGAAGTACCATGGACTTTTTTTTAATGTACAATGGTAAGACATTGGAAAACCATGTAAATGTATCGTTTATGAATATTGTAATTACACATATCATCTGATACCACAGTCCTTCTGCTGCTACCTGGATGAAACGGTTAACTTTAAAACAAGTGAACTCACCTCACTGGACGGTATGCTGACAACCCCCGTTGACCTCCTCTTCTCTCTTAACTTCCTTTTCTCTATCTGTCCTTTGCCCTTTCTGGCACTGGGTCCCGAGCTCTTCTTCTCTTTGCTCTTGCTGTGTGTGGGACTCTCCTTATCACTGTCATCCACACCAGTGGGGCTCGCGCTCTCCGCCTGCGGCACTCCACTCACTTTCTCCGGCGTCTTCAAGTTTTCCCCGGGCTGCTCGGGTTTCTTTGGCTCGTCCTCCGGTCGTTTCAGAGCGGACGAGGAGGAAGACAGGGCCACCGGATAGGAGGACGTAGAAGAGACGCAGTTAACGTTAACCGAGCTGCCGTTGTTGTTTAACTCACCGGTTCTCCCGGTGGCGGCGGCGATATCTCCAAGCATCTTTGCTCTCATCTTCTCGCGCTTTGCTTTCCATTCCTCCAGAAAGTCTGTCGCGCTGTTAGATTTAAATCCTCCTGTTGCCATGACTTCCTTTTAAGATTGACTCGCGCGACCCGAATCACTTTGTAAACACAGACAGTAAACAGTATTGGTTCAGTTCCGCCGCATTCCTCAGAAGTGTTTGGAGGTTGGTTTAAAATAATCACAAAGTCCGCTTTTAAAGTTGACCGAAACTATTAAAAGGCTAAAAAACTGTCGAGTAAGTACCGTCTCGAAAGATAGTATCCGGTAAAGCTCACCTGCGCGCCCATAAACATTCGTCAGGAGTTCAGGTGAACTGATCCGGTGGAATGAACTGGATTAGTTACAGGCGCACTCGAGCGCCGAGTCCTGCCCCCTCTTCTGAACAGTTTCCGAGTAGTTACGGAAATCAACGGAAATAGCCGAAAGGAAGGCGACAGAGAGTTGATGTTACAATTTTCACATTTAGCAATACATTTTTTTTTTTTTACTTAATTAAATTTTAAAAAAAAAATTACTAGTATTTTCTTAGTTTACCCTGCACTGTTAGTTTATATTATTTCACCTTAGTTTTAATTTATTTTGCACTAATAATGATACAATATTATTGTATATTGTTTGCACTATTATTTTACATTGCACAGTTTGTTGTTGGTTATGCTGGAAATGCTGGAAAAGATGGATGGATGGATAGATATTTTTTCTGTGATGAGTCACACTGGTTTGTGATGAATATGAACTGTTCTCTCACACAGGTCCCGAGAGAGCATGAGTCACTGTTGTGCAGAGCTGGAGTGTTTGTGACCCGAGGACTCTCAGAGATGACTGAACTCGATGTCTTAGATAACAGAGGTGCACACAGAGTCGTCTCTGAGTACCACAGCCTGTCTGTCATGCCATTAAATGGTTCGGAAACTGGCATGTCTTCATTTTCGAGTGTCTAAAAATGCCAGTAAGTGGATACTGCATGTTGGGGTGCATGATGTATAACATATCTAGGCTATTTTCTCATTTATTTTTGAGGGATTTTTTGGGGGGCGCGGGTCTTCACAGGTCCTGTCATCTTTCTTTCTTTCTTTATCTATTTTTACAAAGGTAACAGTAAATACTTTTACACTGTTAAAAAGTTCATATAAATAATTATTTTAAATAAATGCCTTTTTGGTGAACTTTCTATTCATCAAAGAATGCTGAAAAAAAATCATGTTTTCCACAAAAATATTAAGCAGCACAACTGTTTTCAGCATTGATAATACGAAATGTTTCTCTGAGCACCAAATCAGCATATTAGAATAATGTGACAGGAGCAGACTGAAGTAATGGCTGCTGAAAATCTTTCTTTTCTAGCCCTTAACCCTACCACTAAACCCGTCCCTTAAAGAAAACATTCTGCGTTTTGATTTATAAGCGTGTTTTCCTATATGAGGACTGAAACTTTATCTCCACAATGTCAAATATTTCAGCCTTTACCATTCTTGTAGGGATTTGGTCCCCACAGTGTAGTGGGGGATACCTTGACCACACACACACATACAAAAATAAATCTTGATATTCTGTGCCCTATATGGAAAGTCCCTTAGACATTCTTATGATTCATACTGATTTGATTTGATTCCAAATGTATTCCTCAGGATTTAGGTTCTTCACAGGACATACAGTATTTAAGACTAAAGTAAGGAAAGAATTTCCTGTTTTTCCTGTTAGTTACTGTTTTTAAAGCCAGTGGCACTTATGTTGAATTACCTCCTTGAATGACTGGAATTTTCTAGTAGTTTTTCAGAAAATGGTTTGTTCAGTCAGCGGGGTTGAGTCACTAAACCAGGGGTGCCCAAACTCGGTCCTGGAGGGCCGGTGTCCTTTGGTCCCCACAGTGTAGTGGGGGATACCTTGACCACACACACACATACAAAAATAAATCTTGATATTCTGTGCCCTATATGGAAAGTCCCTTAGACATTCTTATGATTCATACTGATTTGATTTGATTCCAAATGTATTCCTCAGGATTTAGGTTCTTCACAGGACATACAGTATTTAAGACTAAAGTAAGGAAAGAATTTCCTGTTTTTCCTGTTAGTTACTGTTTTTAAAGCCAGTGGCACTTATGTTGAATTACCTCCTTGAATGACTGGAATTTTCTAGTAGTTTTTCAGAAAATGGTTTGTTCAGTCAGTGGGGTTGAGTCACTAAACCAGGGGTGCCCAAACTCGGTCCCGGAGGGCCGGTGTCCTGCAGAGTTTAGCTCCAACTTGCCTTAACACACCTGCCTTCAAGTTTCTAGTATGTCTAGTAAGAGCTTGATTAGCTGGTTCAGGTGTGTCTAATTGGGGTTGGATCTAAACTCTGCAGGACACCGGCCCTCCAGGACCGAGTTTGGGCACCCCTGCACTAAACCATCCAGCTTATACAATCCAAACCTATACATGAAAGCACAGAAGAAAGAGAGGGGGGTTTGTCCTTTTATGGCTGAATTACTTCTAAAGCCCACAGAGCCATAGAAAATAGCTTTTCATTTAAATGGATAGTTCATTCAAAAATGACCGTTCTGAAATAATACTAAAAAAAGTCAGTGGCTACCAGCAATTGTTTGGTTACCCAACATTCTTCAAAATATCTTCTTTTGTGTTCAGCCGAAGAAAAAAACGTAATACAGGTTTGGAACAACATGAGGGTGAGTAAACGATGACAGATTACAATTTTTGGTGAACTATCACTTTAAGATCTTTCTAGTTGGTTCTTCTTGGTACACATTGACAGAGATAACTGGAAGAAATCTTTAGGGGAAACATTAGGGCGCCTGGTCTATAAATAGCCTGTGATGTACACACTGAGGTCCCGCTAATGCATTTTTAGAATGTTTCAGTGGGCTTTGGGGAAACTTACTCACAGCACAAACACTCATCTGTCACTCGCTGCTTTGGCACGTTCTCCAGCGCAAACTTTTAAGAAATTCCACTTAGCATACCAATAAGGCATTTTCCAAAGGAGCAGATAAGTGGCGAGTCACTCCCACTTTAAGAATGAAATTTAGTTTGCTTTCTTATCAGTCAAGGTCTTTTCTCAAAAGCTGTCTGATATGTTTGCTTCACCGGAGTGATTCCCTCACTCTCAATATGTGCTATCTAAAAGAGTTATTTTAGGAGATATTGAAGTCACACCTTCTGTGACGATAATGGCTTTGAACTGATTCATTCTTTTATGGATCCCACAGTGAATGCAGAAGAATTTTCACACAGATATTTGTAAAATAATCGACACCACAAGAGAACACGCATATTTGGAACTGGCTCAATTTTGCTATATTTTGAAACCTTCAACCCACCTCTTCCATTATTTTAGACTAGAAGTAATGACTTTGTGGAACGTCAGAGTGGCAGATGATTTCCGTGTGTCGAGATGGGCTTCCCATTTCAATTCAGAACTGAAAATCACACAGGATTAATATGACAATCAAAAGTTGCATGCTTACAGAAATATGCTGTTACTTCAGGTGATTTTTTTCATATTCCTTATATTTCTGCCTCTTTGTAAATGGAACCGAACATGACTTGACATGTAGTTGAGCTCTGCTGCATTAAAGTTACTGATACCTACAATTAATATATATATATATATATATATATATATATACACACACACACACACACACACAGCGGCTCCAAAAAATATTTGGACACTTGTCACATTTAAAATAAATGAATGTCATTGCATTAGATACAAATGCCCAATAAACAAAGTATATAATAATAATAATAATACATATATATAAATAATTAACCCAAACCATTGTTTGCTTGAAGTGTTTGTGTGCTCCTTTAAAATAACTTAAGTGTCCAAATACATTTCGAGTCCACCGTATGTCATTTTTAATGTGAAATAATTAACAAGCATGCGATTAATTGCATCGCTGCATACTGTTGGACATTGTCCTACAGTGTCACATGTTATACTTCGTTAAAAACGAATTTAAACAACATTTTTTGTGATTCTTTTATAATTACACATAGTCTTTGTGATCTTAACATATATTTAGAGGGGATATTTGTACATTTAAATAATTTATCCCATTGCAGGACCATTTAAGTGAAAAAATGTGATGAAAAAGCTCTTAGTTCAACTCCGTTTATTAACTGTTAGCTTTTTATTGTTCATTGTCTTTAATGATCATCGCATCTTCCGGTCATTGGGATTCCCAACACCCTTGTAATCATTGCAGAGCACAGGTCTGGCACAGACATTACTTCCCCTGTCTGTCCTGTGACGGTGGACCATGACCATGCCATCTGCTGAGATGGGCGAGGGGTGGCAAAATGTCTGTGTGCCGCCCATATTTCAACTGGTTAGATCGGCTCATTTCTATGAGTTCATTAGAGCTGGTGGCAAAAATTTTTGTGATTCTTTTATAATTACACACAGTCTTTGTGATCTTAACATATATTTAGAGGGGATATTTGTACATTTAAATAATTTATCCCATTGCAGGACCATTTAAGTGAAAAAATGTGATGAAAAAGCTCTTAGTTCAACTGCGTTTATTAACTGTTAGCTTTTTATTGTTCATTGTCTTTAATGATCATCGCATCTTCCGGTCATTGGGATTCCCAACACCCTTGTAATCATTGCAGAGCACAGGTCTGGCACAGACATTACTTCCCCTGTCTGTCCTGTGACGGTGGACCATGACCATGCCATCTGCTGAGATGGGCGAGGGGTGGCAAAATGTCTGTGTGCCGCCCATATTTCAACTGGTTAGATCGGCTCATTTCTATGAGTTCATTAGAGCTGGTGGCACTGGGAGTAACTTTGTGTCCCCAAACATCTCAGATGCTCCTCTATTAGTATGTGAAACTATTCTCAGCATGTTTCCTGGTTGAATGGAGGCACGGGAATGATTTCAAAATGACCACATGCTAAAAAGTACCAGCTGTACTCATTTCTTCACCAAATGTCGAGCATGAATTATTAAGACACAAAAGCTGTAAAACTAAGCAAGTCTGTTCCAGATACTTTTGATTCGTTTCTTGATGTTCCAGTTATGCTCTTCTGGGGGTGAGCACGTGATATAAATCATGAACTGAAATGATTAAACCGCCAAACGCTTCAGACAACAGTAATCTTGCACAATACATAACTTATCCAATCAGGTTTGAACTGTATAGTGACGTGTTTTCTTAGTCATCTTCACATGCTTGTTTTTTGAAGGAAGACATTTGATGTCACAATCAGAACTTTGCAGTGCAACTGAAGTAGATTAAATTCATGTTTCAGATTTAGTACAAGTTAAGCTCAATCAACAGTTTATTACAAACAATCATTTGTTTAACACATTTGCACGTTTATCTCACACACACACACAAATCTGACTTGTGCCTCTTTTTTCCTTAAAAAGAAAAAAAAGGCACAAAATGATAGTAAAAACACAAAAATGATGGTTACACTGAGGCACTGGAGGACTTACAAATGTGAAATTACATTTTTTAAAAGCTCTTTCATTAATTCCTTATGTTAGAACTTGTGTATTATTTTGAACTCGTCATTTTTTTTTTGTGGCAACAAAGTTGTAAAATTAGATAGCTTTACACAGAAAATGTAAGTATTTTTGACACAGAGATAATATTAACATGCATATTGTTTATAACTTGCAGCTGTACTATCGAAACAGTGAGTATTTGAATGTTTACAGACTGGCCCCATTTGCTTCTTTTGTAACCGCCCAACTTTTTCTTTTTTTTTAAAGGAGGGATGAGTCAAAATAATTTTTGTAGTAATAATCAACATGATACAAGTGTTGTCAGCGGAGTTTAATCTATGTATTTATCCTGGAATTTTGCCTTAAAGGAATGTTCATTCATGCTGTTGATTACCACCGAAAATCATTTTGACAGAAATGCTATTAAAATGTTATGCCCAGTTCAGACTACACGATTTTGCTGGACGTAGGGACGCAAGATTCCATCGTTCCAGCACGTGTAGTGTGTCATAGTGGACGACAACCGATTCCCCGTCTGCCATGCTTCACGACATCAGGACAGAAAGACTAGCATGTTTAATTTTTTTTCTGTCACATTGGTGACGTTGACCAATAGCAGCACAGGAGCTCTTTCATACACAGGTTTCAAACATGCGAAACGAAAGAGAGATGATGGTGCTGCTAGGTGGAATTATGAGATGGAGGAAAGGTTCGTGGAGCTGTGGCAGCAGTACTCCTGCGTGTATGATGTTTCATCGAGGGACTACCACGACAGAACAAAGAAAGAAAAATGCTGGCGAACTATAGCGGAAGCGCTTCAGCAATGTTTACACTCTTGTTTTCGGAAGTCAGTCGCTAGTTAAAGACGGCACGCGACGAGTGGTCGGGAAGCAACGTGTAGTCTGACATGTTTCTTGTCCACGACACAACAAGATTTCAGGAGTCAAAATCGTGTAATTTGACACAGTGACTATCGTGACCGACGAAAATATCCTGTAGTCTGAACCCGGCTTAGTCTATGGGGAAAAACATTGCAGTGTTTCGAAAGTAAGGCCACAAGAGAAAGGCAATGGTTTTCAGCACTGATATTAATTCTTCTGTACCAAATTTAGTTATTTTGAGATGTAAAATTGTCTAAATTGTTCTTTTAGGCAGATGAACTCCTGTTTATTATCTGGTTCTGAGTGGATTTTCTCCATAAAGAGTCCTTTTTTGGCATCCTTAGAAAGTTACAAGGTTAAACAATGTTACATTGCCATGATAAGAGTTTAAAATTGGACATATTTTGTACAATGTTAGTAAGTGATTCACATTAATTAACACACAAATGTTTAAGCACAGTGGCGATACTCTTGCCCCATAGACCTCCATTGTAAGTGCATTACCGTAAACACGATTCTGTTTGTTTTTACAAAACAATTTTCTGTTGCAATTGACAGTGTGCCACGGATCCAGGAGAACAAGAGATGAGCCTGGACTCTGGAGGCCAGTCTCTGGGTCTGCGCCAGATATTCAGCTGCAGCCCAATGGCCTGGAATTGGAGGTTCCTGATGTCTGTCAGGCCACCGCAGATAATTGAGTTTTAGCCAGCTAGATGAGTAGAAATGAAAGGAGGCGACGTGAGTGAGGTCAACTGGGGAATAAGTCCTCAAATATCCTCAAGATCTCGATAATTTTGGTCTCATTACAGGGAAATATACCAGTACAACTCAGCTGGGGAATGTTGATTTAAGAGACTGAACAATGACGTGCTGCCTGACTGTCCACATTCCATGATATAAAATCACCTGAAAGCACTGAATACGTTTCCCTAATCTCATAGAAATGTATAATTATCAGGTAAATTCCACAAATATTTTAGATAACTACTAACGTGGCACTAGCAATTATAGTGTATATGTGATTTGGCACACTTTCAAACAAATCTGTCAACATTTTGATTCTTGTTGGTATTTTATTGGATATGTTTTTATGCTTATTGTGTTGTAGTTGTGTTCAAAAGCCAACACCAAAAAATGTAATAAGTACAAATAAAATCTTTCTAGTTTTTGATGTTGTAGTGTCCATGGAAGTGGAAGGTGGATCCCATGGACTGGGAATGCAGCTGTGGAGGAACACACCACAAATCCCATCAGGCACTTCACCAGCCACACAAACAAGACAACGTTTTTACTTACAAACTTCGTTCTGCAATACTGGACTGCATAGATAAAGTCTGAGAGATGCAGACCTATACACGCACACACATATACACAGACATACATACATATATATATATAGTTATACAGATGTGTATCAACCATTGTGCTGTGGTGAAAATACTAATTTGGTGCTCCAGGTCAAAAATGACTAGCCTTTTAAAAATTGCTTGTAAATCTCTCATTATGCTATATCACCAAATCTTTGATTTAATCTATTTGTAAACTACTTGACTTTTAATTAGCAGAGGTTTTGTATTTTGAATGAATGAAAAAAAGCATTATTTAGTCATCAGTTTTCAATGGGAATACCACAAGTGTAACAAGGTGGGGGTGGGGGGGTACAAAAAGTTTTAACATTTTTAAATACCCTGTGTGAGCCAAATCAGGTTTTAGTCCAATATTAACTAGCGTTTACAGGAAAGAGAAAATCCTCTCAGAATCAAAATGACTTGAACAAAAGCAAGAAAGGCAAAAAAAAAAAAAGTACACACAAAGTCTTCTGTCGAACAAAAGAAAAAAGACTAGAAACAGAAAAACATCATCCGAGCTTTCTTTAAATTTGGTCTAAAATTGATTTAACTTTTGGCAGTCCAATTAAACAATTAAGTATTCTGTATTTTATGCATATAGCAAATTAGCATAATGCAGAAATAGTAATATTATGGCACTGTGCATTTGACAGACAGTACTACGTTCCTTGATATTAGAACACACAGCACTAATGGGCGATTCATGATGATTATCTTCATTATAGCTATTCTTTATTTCACTTGCCAATGCAGCTGAACTTCATTCGGCAACTTTTGAAGGATCAGTTTATCCTTTGTGAATTCCACCAAGCAATAAAAATGCTCACAATTGACCTTTTCCACAGCCTGGTGTGCTTGCATATGAATCGTTTAATCACATAACTCAAGTGTAAGCATGAAATGTGACATGACGCATACACTGCTTCAACTGATCCAGGTCGGCCTGCTGGTGCAAATCACCCCAAAAAAAACAAAAAAATAAAAGCACGGAATCTATTAGTTTCTATAATTGCCTTGGATTCTTGTAAGTTTCCTGCTTTTAAACCGGGAAACACTCCAACTGATCTTTTCCACATTCATTTTTTTGTCAAGTAAGCTTTGCGATAGAACCAGAAGAATGAAGGGGTCTCCGCAAGACTTACATGGAAAAATTCCCATTGCATGACTATGTGCAATTACTGCCCATACAGCCTCTTATCCTCAAAGTATTATTGCATTATTTGAGCTCTTCATGCCACAATGAGAACATGCAGCATTCGCTGCCAAACACATTTATCAGTGCAGTCTGGAAACGACTTTGCTTTTGTGGCTCTGTGAGAAATGCTCAAATAAACTTAAAGTGACAATTCAAACTAAAATGAAAACGATATCACCATTTACACACCCTCATATAGTTTCATGCAAAAATGATTTTTACTTGCAGAGAGAACTGTCATTTTTGGGTGAACTATCCCTTTAATTCAAGATGTTTTATCTGGATTTGTCTGTGGACAAATGCCTTTGCGTGAGAACATTTGGTAACTTCCAAGCCCCAGAGGAAAAACCAAACAAAACATACTTGGAGAGTTCACATAGAGAAATGCAAGCCTTATGTAAGATCAGGAGGGGAAAAAACTCCCAATACTCAAACACTTTTCCTGCTTTTCCTGTTCACAAAAGCATGCCCAGGTTGAGAGTTGATTGGAGCTGATAGTGTTGAGCTCAGGCGGCCGCCATCTAGTGGTGCTGAAGCTGTTTGAGTTTTACCATTTCAAAACAGCAGCATTTAATTTGAACAAAAGTAGAATTAAAAAAATTTTTTTCACTATCATAAAAAATAAAAAATTGTGAACAAAAGTGTAAGATCCCTGCAAAACTTGGACTATATTCAAAGATCATTCCTAAATTCATATCTAGAAAATCTATTTAAATTAATTTTGTTTATTTATTATTATTAATACTATTATTTATTGGTCAAAGCAACAATATAATCCTTTTTCAATCCCTGAAAACTCATGAAAAGTACTTGCATGTATTTATGTATATAAGAAGGGGCACTGGATCTCAACAGGTTGAGTTTATTACATTTAACAGCATGATAATCTGACAACCGTTGAATTGAAAACAAATAAATGGGACGCAAAAGCCGAGAGATTTTTTACAATGTACAAGTTTATTTTAATTAACTCTCAGTGGTTGGTAGTCACAGCACAGCTTGCACGGATGAAGCCACACATCTATTTTACAAGATGATGGGAAATTTAAAAAGGAAAAAAACAACAACGACAAATTAAAAACCTAAACCAAAGAGGAGACAGCTGACAGTCCAACTACAGCGACATTTTTTCCCCCCGACTACAGTATTTAAGTAAAAGGCCACTGAAATGCATAAAACGTGTTTCCGATGCATGGACTTCATCTGACACGCTGGCAAAAGTTCGCTAAACCGGACAGCAAGACTCCTGACATGGCATTGACAGTGCATGTAGACATTGTAAAAAGGACTGGGTTAGCGATATCTAGGATCTTCTTTTTAGTGACAACACCTTGGCTAATAATACTACAGCTTAAAAAAAAGAAAAAGAAAAAAGACCAAACTGGAAAAAGGAGAAGAAAAAAAAATGAACAGCACTCTTCCAAAGATACTGAATAAAATGTGTGAAATGTAGTGAAGCAATTATATTATTATCTCACAATTACCGTGAACACTTTTAAAACTGAGAAGAAGAGGGGGGGAGAAAAAAAATGCACTGAAGAAGAGCAGCCGTCCCTCTTTGAAGAGGGCGGCTCTATTGTTATTCAATGTCTTTTCCAACTATATAAAAGGTGGAGGAAATCGTTAAAACACACTTTGTCCTCTGGAGTTGGTAGATTTCAATAGTAACAGACAGGGAACCATAAACGCATGCCATGTGCTGGTCTCAAACGATACATACAGGTATATACAACTTCACTCAGTACCTGCTAAAACAACGTGAGGAGTACAAGATATAAACCAACGACTACACTACAAACTCAAAGTAAGTCGGGGGGGTAGAGGAAGGAAACCGGGGTGAGCCACGAAAGTGGTGAAAGAGTGAACATTCTTAAAGCATTTGTATAGAAAGAAATGCATATATTGCACATAAGTGAAAGCTTCGATTCCACGAGGTCCGCCGAATCGGTAAAGCCAGGGGTCCGTCGTCTCTCTCGCGGAGGAAGTGTGCGGAGCGTGCGCCAACATTGTGGAATGCTGGGAAGTCTTCTGTTGAGAGACAGTTCCTCTGAGGACGAGGGCGGGACTTCTAGCGCGATTTGGGAAGGGGGCGTGGCTGATGAGGACAGGAAGAGGACATGGAAGGAGAGAGCTGCATATTGCATAACACATCTATACAGGAAGGAAGATTAAAGAGCGGAGCAAAAAAACAACAACCACCAAAAAAGAAAAAAAAAAAAAGAAGGAGAGATCACAAAAAGTGTGGCACAAATAAAATCAGGTGTTCTGTGACAGCCAAGAGAAATTTGATGCAAGTGACGTATGTACAACTAAGGCTTATTGGTTCAATAGTTTTTCGAGGCTTTCCCCGCCCGCAAAGTGTTCAATGCCATTCTCTCGCCTAACGCTTTTCCTTAGTTCTGTAAACGCAGTGGTTCTGGGTGAGGCGGTGGAAGCGAGGGAAAGCCGAGGACTGAGAAACGGAGGGGGAGACGGAGCCTTCTTGTCGCCATTGTCTCGTATTAATATCTAGATGTGCAATACCGTTACTGCCGGAGGTTGTGGAGAGGGTCTTTTCTATTTGGAAAGCTTGCTTATGACTCGGATCAGCGCTCCGTTCTCGTCCTTTAGCCTCTGGTTGTCTGCTTTCAAGTCTGGTAGCGTCTGGAAGAGAGAACAGGAGAGGGACGGGTTAGATTAACAGACAAGGACGAGTGCTTGTGTTGCTGGCGTGGCTCTAGATACTGATGTTTGTTGATTGCTGCATCTTGAACAGCACTTCCTATTCAACACAACCCCCCCTTTTAACCGACATGGTGATGGTGTCTGATCTGGAATCTGAAAGATGACGGTTCTGGGATAGGGGAAGAAACGGCTCGGGAATGGCTCCTGGAAACTGCTGGACTAGAACCAATACTAAATAGCACGATAATGTCTAATCGCTGGGCAGGCGATAATTCTCTCAATATTCTTCTGATTAGGAGTCTTTGATACATATCTCAATTTTATATTTGCTCTGAAATTACTTAAAATGGTGATCTTTTTACATTTTTTTTTTACCAACCAAAGAGTCACTGCAGACTCAAAATGCTTGATGTAAAAGGTAGAAGAAAAAAAAACTTTTCCCCCAGTTTTACACTAATTACCCAAAAGTACACTTACAAAAAATAGAAAAACAAATTAAAATGAGCATTCATTTTTGTCAATATTTATTGACAATTACATTTTCATTTAATAACAATGACTACAATTATAATTTAATAGTAATCAAGTTTTAATTCTATATAGATTTAATTCTACATTTGATGTACATTTATATGCAGCCATTATATATGTATTTTTAATTTTACATTTGATAATTGTTTGACAATGTTAATTTACATGCATATGTATATATATATATGTGTGTGTGTGTGTATATGTATACATGTATGTGTATGTATATATATATATACATATATATATATATACATACATATGTATGCATACACGCATATATATATATATATATATGTGTGTGTGTGTATATGTATACATGTATGTGTATGTATATATATATATATACATATATATATATATATACATACATATGTATGCATACACGCATATATATATATATATATATATATATATATGCGTGTATGCATACATATGTATGTATATATATATATATGTATATATATATATACATATATATATATATACATACATATGTATGCATACACGCATATATATATATATATAAATATAGTTAAATATAATTTTTTAAAGCTTTAATCCATGAAAAATCCCATGTGTTAGTATAAACTAATAGCTGAATCGGAGCTGAACTGATTCATTCAAAAGGACCATTTGAATAAATTCCGTTTTAATGCGTTCATACTGTCATGTCACTTTTTATATGTGCAATTATAGCAATAGCAAAATAAAATAATAATTGCTATAATTTGCTAAATAAATTAAATTGCGGCATCATTTGGCTTTGAAATGGCCCGTTTCTCAGTTTGCAGATTCCTCATCACCAGGACCAGCACCATTTGGGTAGAAAAGGGACCGTCGATCCACACAGGCACACTGCAGATCAATGGGAAACCGTAGCCATGCACTCTCAGATGGAGGGTAAAGAGGAGGACAGCACTCAGGCCTCTCTCGGTCCTCTCTCTCACTGTACACACAGAGTCCCTTTTGTGTGTCCTCGACTGGACGGAATAAACAAAGGGTCTGGAACACAAGTGTCTGTATAAACCACAACACTGAGCGCTACTCGATACCCGACCCGCTTCAGTCTTCAGGTTACAGTGTTGAAGTGGAGATCTGTAGCTGAGATTTCACCACCACTGGCCTCATCGACCGTACAACACTGCACAGACGGATAGAAGTCAGGAAAACTACTCTACTAATTGGACTAACTGGAAACTGAGTTTTGCAAATACAATCAAACATGTTTACGAAAAAGGAAGCAGCAGCTATGAAAAAGGATCTGTTGGGAGCAACTAGCTGAAGTAATAGTCCAACCATAAATTAAAAAGTCATCATCGTTTATTCATTCTCATATGGATCCAAACCTGTGTGACTTTCTTTCTATTTGTGAACAACTAAAGGAAGTCAAGCTAAAGAAAAGCACAAAAAGCCATTATGTAACCTCACAGGTCCTAAATCAGAGCAAGAGTCATACACTTTCATGGTACCTTTTTTGCTCATTATGAAGTTTTACAGTCCTAGTAAGCTTAACTGTACATTTTTTGCTACCCAACTTCCACAAAAGAAAGTCATCCAAGTTTATAACACTTATGGGGGTGAGTAAACGATGACAGAACATTCATTTTTGGGTGAAATATTTCTAAGAATAAAGGCAAAAAATCGTGTGCCAGTGAAGAACTTTAGATATTTTGCAGGAACGCAAAGAAACAACTTCCTTGTGATAAACTCGCCACTGACAATTACATTTTAACGATGTAATGATACTTCCCAAGAGAGCGGTTTACAGTTTGAGTACTGCAGTTGTAGACTGGAAAAATGCATTAAAACGAGTCCATAAAAACAGTAAGTCACAAAACAGAACTGAGTAAAAGAAACAATTTAAAAACCTAGACAAAAGAAGTAATAATATACTGTGTTTGAGGCCTATCGGCAACCAGATAAGCATCCCAAAAATGCGTTTCATTCTGTATACAATCAGCTAGATTATGCTAGAAAAGCTCCAATGTAATTTAAGCGTTTGCCAGCGACAATGTGTGGATTAAAATGCATGAGTTTCCAGAAGCCATGCAATCCAGATTATGCTCAAACAGAGCATAAATAGCAGTTCAGCTCCAGAACTAAAAAAATCTGGGACTGGGGGGGATGGGTGGGGGGTCTCCAAAATTAAAAAAAGCAGAGAAACTATATTTGATTTCACAAAAACCAGTCAAGCACCTCATGCAGGATGCTGGAGTCATCCAAAAGGAACTGCACTTCACAGCAACACATTCGAGGGGAGGACTCAAAAAAGTTCAAACAAGTACAAAAAAAAAAAACAGTACAATTTCTTACTAAAAAAAAAAAGTTTCAAAAATATAAATATTTAGTACTGACAATTTGTAATATGTCATTTGTAAAAAATAAAAGGTAAATATTTTATTCTAAATGAAAGTAGAATTTTATAGATGTCATTTGTAAGCATCATTCATAAAAATCTGGGTAAAAATTATTAGTGTTTTCATTTTTAATTAATATTAATTTAATTAAAGAAACATGCCTTTTTTGTATAAAGTCATTCGTAAAAAAAATCCAGCAGAATTCTTTTATGTACTGTTTTAATGATAAATGTGCAAAATTATCAGTAAATTCTAAAATACATCAAATGTACTGTATTTTTGTAGACATTTTTAGCAATAACTGTACTGTGTTTTCCACACACAAAAAAAAAAACCCAAAAAGGGAGGCGGAGTATCAGCTCAGACTCAGGCTGGCACCTGCCTTTATATGGGCGTGGGCGGAGCTGAATGGAGCATGAGGAGGGGTGTAAAGGGAGGTGGGGGCGGGTCTACAGGTCTGCGGCGGGAAGGTGGCTGCAGCCCTGTGAGATTTTGGAGAGCACGCGGGCCAGCGCCCTGTTCTCTGCCTGCAAACGCTCGTTATACTGACGCAGAGACTGCACCTGCTTTACCTGAGGAAGATTCTATGAGAGAAAGAGAAAGAGAAAGAACGATAGAGGAGAAGATGATAGACATCAGACAAAAAAAATGCAAAAAAAAAAAGGAATAATGTGATAACGTAAACTATTAAAGGGAACGATAGATCACTGAAGGGAAAAAAAAGTATGGGATCTCAAAAATAATTCAAAGAAATTGAAAAGGAAAACACGCATTCACTTAGCTATAAATGGGGACATTTAATAGACATCTATTTTTTTAGGGAGTCGTCGCCAACTGGCGGCTTAAGCACCCTTCCAAGTGGACATCAAGATGGTTTAAAATTATATAAAATAAAACAAAAAATGTAAATCTTGAAAAGCTAAAACATCTAAAAATCAAGACATTAGCTAACATCATTTATGATTTTAATCTGTTCTCTTAAAAACGGAGAATTTTAAAAGTGTGATTTCTAGACCTGAATGGAAATTTCTAAAATGTCATGGATTTAAAAAAATAATAATAATAGAATTTTTCTAGTTATTTCAAGCTCTAACATTTTTTATCAGGTAGAAATTGCTATGTGCGAGCACAAAATAACAATAATAAAAAAAAAAAACTGTAACCACAAATAACTAGCCATTTCATTGGCAATTTAAAAAAAAAGTAAACTGAATAACGGTTATGGAAAGTTTTAGAATTATAGAATTTTAATATATTACCAGTAGTTTCAGTATACTTTTTTTTTTTTTAACGAGCAGCTTTGTCATTATAACAAGTACCAGTATTCTATTCTATATTCATTTCTATTCTTTCTTTTCCCAGCCTGGAAATTAGGGCTGGGCGATATGGCCAAAAAATTATCTCTATATTTTTTTTTCATATCAGTCGATATCGATAATTGTCACGATAAATGTTTAAAAGTTTAAAGGCAGATTTTTGCTCTAATGTGAAAGTTGTAAAAAAAAAAAACAGATGGTTAATTGTGGTTTTCAACTATTCTTTATGGTCGGAACATGACAAACACTTCTCCAGTCATTTTTCATTAACAAAATAAATATCTTAATAGAAAAAAATGTCTTAGTTCTGCATGTTCTAATAATGAGTAATATTGTTTCAAATCAAGAAACACGTTTGTGTTGCCTGATAATATTAATTACATCTTAATTAACATTTTTTTGTCTCTTAGAAATACACATTTGATAGTAGCTTGAGTTAGGATGCAGATGTAGATTTATGTTCATTATCAAAATCTGTTAATTTTAGCAATCTCATTTTTATACGGTGAAATGTAATTATTCTGACTATTTAAGGTATTTAAGGTGTTTTTTTTTTTAACCATTGGTCTTTCATAACATACATTTAGATCATGATAATCACAGTTAAAACCACAAATATAGCACCTCAATACCATGGTAAAAAAATGAGTATGGCTTGTTGGCATTTATGAGAAACAGTAGTCTAAATACATTTATAAATGCATAAACGCTCTAGCTTAATCACAAAAAAATACTGTAATTATATTCCATTACTCCTCCTTCAATATATTTAATGCATGTCTACATTAATAATATAATAAAATTCGACACAAATACCCACATTTCTGACACAATACCATGGTGCAGTTAGTGCTACTACAGTAAATCCATGGTAAATGATGGCGATTTGTAGATTAATAAAATTCTATTCTATATTCATTTCTATTCTTTCTTTTCCCAGCCTGGAAATTAGGGCTGGGCGATATGGCCAAAAAATGATCTCTATATTTTTTTTTCATATCAGTCGATATCGATAATTGTCACGATAAATGTTTAAAAGTTTAAAGGCAGATTTTTGCTCTAATGTGAAAGTTGTAAAAAAAAAAACAGATGGTTAATTGTGGTTTTCAACTATTCTTTATGGTCGGAACATGACAAACACTTCTCCAGTCATTTTTCATTAACAAAATAAATATATTAATAGAAAAAAATGTCTTAGTTCTGCATGTTCTAATAATGAGTAATATTGTTTCAAATCAAGAAACACGTTTGTGTTGCCTGATAATATTAATTACATCTTAATTAACATTTTTTTGTCTCTTAGAAATACACATTTGATAGTAGCTTGAGTTAGGATGCAGATGTAGATTTATGTTCATTATCAAAATCTGTTAAAAATTTTAGCAATCTCATTTTTATACGGTGAAATGTAATTATTCTGACTATTTAAGGTATTTAAGGTGTTTTTTTTTTAACCATTGGTCTTTCATAACATACATTTAGATCATGATAATCACAGTTAAAACCACAAATATAGCACCTCAATACCATGGTAAAAAAATTAGTATGGCTTGTTGGCATTTATGAGAAACAGTAGTCTAAATACATTTATAAATGCATAAACGCTCTAGCTTAATCACAAAAAAATACTGTAATTATATTCCATTACTCCTCCTTCAATATATTTAATGCATGTCTACATTAATAATATAATAAAATTCGACACAAATACCCACATTTCTGACACAATACCATGGTGCAGTTAGTGCTACTACAGTAAATCCATGGTAAATGATGGCGATTTGTAGATTAATAAAAAGTCTGACGGTTTCGTTGCGCAGTGTTTCTGCTGTTTGTCAGAGCTGTTTCATCTGGCTGTAAACAGAGTTATTTGTGTTCCTCGCTGAATTCAAGCGCTTCACACTGGATCTCACAGCACTGTTCAGTGTTGCGTGAGCGAGACTCATCAGCGAGTGAACGCATCTGCTCTAGTGAAGCTCGCGCCGCTGTTTGACCTTTGATCTGAGCGGATAAACGCTCAGAGGGGGCTCTTTCGTTCCGCCTTTGCCGCATTATATCAAACATTTATCGAACTCTTATCATTTATCGAGGAAATCTGTATCGTGCGATAATTATCGTTATCGATTTATCGCCCAGCCCTACTGGAAATCACATTTAAAAATTCACTCATATTTCTAGGTTTTCCATGACAGTGACAACCCTGTCTGATGCAACAAAGCAGTGTGAGAGTACTACAATTATCACGATTCATTTTAACGTTGAAGAATGAATTGTTGTTGTTTTTTCCGCAATCAAGAAAAAAAAGTGTCTTGGTGTCTCTTCGAGTGCAAGATGATATATGGGCAAACTTTCCATCATAGGATGCAGATGTAGATTTATGTTCATTATCAAAATCTGTTAAAAATTTTAGCAATCTCATTTTTATACGGTGAAATGTAATTATTCTGACTATTTAAGGTATTTAAGGTGTTTTTTTTTTAACCATTGGTCTTTCATAACATACATTTAGATCATGATAATCACAGTTAAAACCACAAATATAGCACCTCAATACCATGGTAAAAAAATTAGTATGGCTTGTTGGCATTTATGAGAAACAGTAGTCTAAATACATTTATAAATGCATAAACGCTCTAGCTTAATCACAAAAAAATACTGTAATTATATTCCATTACTCCTCCTTCAATATATTTAATGCATGTCTACATTAATAATATAATAAAATTCGACACAAATACCCACATTTCTGACACAATACCATGGTGCAGTTAGTGCTACTACAGTAAATCCATGGTAAATGATGGCGATTTGTAGATTAATAAAAAGTCTGACGGTTTCGTTGCGCAGTGTTTCTGCTGTTTGTCAGAGCTGTTTCATCTGGCTGTAAACAGAGTTATTTGTGTTCCTCGCTGAATTCAAGCGCTTCTCACTGGATCTCACAGCGCTGTTCAGTGTTGCGTGAGTGAGACTCATCAGCGAGTGAACGCATCTGCTCTAGTGAGGCTCGCGCCGCTGTTTGAACTTTGATCTGAGCGGATAAACGCTCCGAGTGGCGCTCTTTCGTTCCGCCTTTGCCGCATTATATCAAACATTTATCGAACTCTTATCATCATTTATCGAGGAACTCTGTATCGTGCGATAATTATCGTTATCGATTTATCGCCCAGCCCTACTGGAAATCACATTTAAAAATTCACTCATATTTCTAGGTTTTCCATGACAGTGACAACCCTGTCTGATGCAACAAAGCAGTGTGAGAGTACTACAATTATCACGATTCATTTTAACGTTGAAGAATGAATTGTTGTTGTTTTTTCCGCAATCAAGAAAAAAAAGTGTCTTGGTGTCTCTTCGAGTGCAAGATGATATATGGGCAAACTTTCCATCATAGAGTTCTCAAGGAGTCTCTCAGAAAACGAATCCTGGACAGGATCTCACCTGCGTGGCTTTCTCCAGCTGCAGTTTCAGGTCTGCCAGCTCCAGTTCTGTATCACGTAACTGAGCTTTCAACTTCTCGTTTTCAGCTAAAATCTGCTCATAAAGCTGCAAGCGGAAAGAGCATGTTGGGTAAACACTCAACTATAAGGAAACCACTATTTTACAGGGCGTAATCATACAGTGCAAAGTTTGTACCTTCTTATAATCAGTGGTGTCGTCTCTTTCGAAGCGAGAGTACGGTCGCCGGCTCTCCCCAATGCCACGGCTACTCAAAGACTCGTAACGGTTGAGGGAGGAAGTGCTAGTAGAAACAGGGTCATTCCTGAGGGGGAAAAATGAGAGTTACTTATATTATTCATTTGGGTTCTCATAATAAACATGAACACATGCATATTTCGCTGCTCTTAAGTGTTTTTTGGGATACATACCTGGATAGTCTGTCGCTCTGTGGATGTGAACAGCGAGAGAAAGAGAGAGAGAGAGAGAGAGAGAGGAAGTTATTACAACGTCTGTACCTGCTATTAATCAATCACATGCTCATAATGCATTTAGTGTGTCTGTTTGTCTAGTGTCTAGACTAGCAGATTATCAATTAGTCTGGGATGGATTGTGACGCTCTCATGGCCTGCTTAACGCTGCTATTTAATGAGAGTCCGCACGGGTCGGCAATCTATCATTTACTGCTCTACAGTAAAGGACGTGTTTGAAGACATCTGGGTGTAATCCATTTGATTTTGTCCTTATAAGAGTCATGCTTCAAAAGGTTCGACTTCCATGCAAGTGTCACACATTTATCAAGACGGAAGTAAAAGGACTTTGGTCATCATTATTCCCTCCTGCCGTTTTCTTCTTTCTCTGAGCTCCGAGACCTCTCAGCCCTGCTGGGCTTTTCTTCATGAATTCCTGATCAGCAGCCAAGACTTCTGGGTCTGCTCTTATTCCCCAGCCGCTTAAAGCACACACAGGGTATTGGAATGAGTTCGGAATGGCATACTAAACACTATTTTTGGAAATTAGTAGTATGTAATATGCATACTGTGCACAATCTAATATTCCGTATGCATGAAACTATTACCAATTGACAAAATGTGCAGTATTCCACCACAGCACATGATGTGAGAGACAGTATCCCATAAGGAAATGATACTTTATGTGTGTGGCAAATGAACCTGAATAATAATAGTCCTCACCTTCTGAAAGACCAATTTTAATGGTTCCAGTCCTACGTAATTACTGGCTACATTTTTTTTTAAATCATTTTATAGAGACTGAACTTAGAAGACACCAAGTTTTAGCTGATGAAATATTTTACAACTGATTTTAATTAGAAAAATTTATATTCGTGACTATGAACTATAAAGATTATCTTCTTAATTACAAAAATTCCCTGACTTTTCCAGATTTCTCATGGGAACCCTGTTGCTTAAATTATTTAATTGGACTGCTGAAAAATATTCATATAATATAATATGATATAATATTGAAATACAAATAAATATATATACACTCATACTCATTATATACAGTATATAAATAAATATTAATTATATATCACAAAAAAGGTGTATTTATATTCAATTATATTTTAATATAAAAATATAAAAAGTATATATTTTAATGTTTTATATTATATTAAAACATATTAACTTTATTTAAATAATTTTTCATTCTTTATTTTTTTTTTTTAAATGCAGTCAAATAGTATTCCATTCTAAACACAACCAAAATCTCTTCTCATAGCTAAAGGTTGGAAACATTGGGCCGGGAGCCAGTATGAAGCCTCAGTACTAAGAATAGGACTGGAGCTCAGAGCCTGGGCTGTGAGAAGCTCTCAGGCAATGACCCATGTGACAGCGCGGCCCACTTCCTTTAGCTGATTGCCCTGGAAGCACACTGAAGCACTTAGCTTTGTGTCAGAACTTCCTTTTTTCGATACAGAACAGCACACTAAGAGGAAATGTGTGCTATTAAGCTAACAAAAAAAACAGCTGTCTCATAAAGAACCCACGGACCCCATTAGATTTTCTTTCATACTGCGGCCCGCTGAACACTTATCATTTGGAACCATCCAACCAAAAACTGATCTTTAGCTCTATTCGGCAATATTTGAGCTAAATTTAAACCTGGATGACATGCTGTAACAAGTGCACTTGAAAAAGTGTTGTAATAGGAGGATGATTTGAGGCGTCAGCTGGTGCTTCTTCCACTTGACACGTGCAAAATGTTTCCTGTTCTTCTTCTACTGACCCAACAGTCAAGAACAAAGCTTTGTCCTGCTCTTTGATTCTTGACCTTCCTGACTCAAATAAACTGTCACCACTTTTGAATCCCTCATTCCCAGTTTTCCACCCGACTGCGAGTGATCTGGTTCCAGGATCATGTTGACACAGGATATGCAGGATATTTATCTTATCCTCACTGGACTCACAATATCACCCCAGTCACACCAATAGTAACAGCTTAAAGGGGTCATATGATGCGATTTAAATTTTTCCTTTCTCTTTGGAGTGTTACAAGCTCTTGGGCATGCTGTGGATCACCGGATCGGCTTTCACCGTGGACGAAGCCCGGGGTCGTCACATGTGGTTGCCGCAAGCCCACCGGCCGCACTGTTCTCAAGCCTGCCCGCCGCAGCTCACTCAAGCCGGCCTCCGCATACTCTAGGCCGCAGCTCACTCAGGCCGCAGTGTGTGACGCTTTTTCGTTGTGAAAGCGAAACTACTTTGTTTGGTCTTCCAAAAGAGGACACGACTAGAAATCAGTGATTAGGTTGTATTTACAACACTGTTCCAGAACAGTTCAACCCAAATATTCAGATGTGTCCAGAGCATTTTATGGAGGACTGTTTCCTGATCCTGGTAGAGTAGACTACAATGCCGGCTGTTCTGACTCACAGACTGTAAGTACGTTTTTTATATTTAAAGAATTTGTCACTGACGATTCAAACTCGAGTTTTTTGAGCAGTGTAGAGTAGCACTTGTTGTTTGTCATTTCTCCGATCACAAATGCAGACATGGTTTTATGTTACGCTCCGGCCGGACAGGGCATCACAGTATGTTAAGGGGCATAACATTTCCGTCACACGCTTGAGGTATTCGGCCAATCACAACGTGCTGGATAGCTGGCCAATCACAGCACACCTCGCTTTTCAGACAAATGAGCTTTGTAAAAATCACCGCGTTTCAGAAAGGCGGGGCATAGAAGAGAAACAATAATGTACAGTATGTGGAAAATAATGTGTTTTTTGAATCTTAAACCGCATAAACATTTCATTACACCAAATAATGTTCTTTTTAGCAACATCATATGACCCCTTTAAGTACACCCTAAACAACTCATGTGACTAGCCATGTAGTTGCTTTTATGGCTGGAAGCGTGATTTCTCCTGCAATAGTAATAGGTGACAGTCGATGGGCTGTGAATCAGGTCGACTTTCATTTTTAAGACGACTAATGCTGCTGGGACAATTCCAGGATGTTGAAGGGGGAGGAGGGGGTCAGCAGTCAGCAGACAAACAGTAACGTGAGTGAATTGTTTGTCCTGCCAAACATGAAGAAAAGTCAATCTGTTCTTTGACTATAAAAGATGAAAGACAGAGGAAGAACCTTAAAGTCCTACAAAAGCAGTCCAACAAAATAAGCAGCTGATTTTTATTAAAAAAAAAGGAGGAACTTGGCATTTGTCTAACTGGTACATTTGTGTTGGCAGATGCATTGTAGGTGAGATGATGTTCACCTGAGGCTCTCCTTTAGTGCTGCCTTCTTCTGAGTCCGATGGCTCCTCTGGCTCGTTCTCGTCACTCTGTAACATAGAAACGCGTTTCAAATTCCACTATATTCCAACTATAAAAGAAAACAGCGTCCAAAATGAAGTTGCCAATCACTAAATGCACATAAATGCTTTAGCATGAACATAAAATTGAGTTAATGCGTCCAAAAGTTTCTTACATCCTGGTTCCAGAAGGACACTCCAGTCGAGCGTCTTTTCTCTCGAGGTCGTCTGCGGTCACGTATAGAGCGTGGCTGAGACTTGTCTTCAGCGTCCTTGTCATCATTTTTATCTTTTCTATCAGAGTCTGGTCAGAAAACAGACATATGGTTCTTTATGAGTACAACTGAACATTATGAACATCCACTAACCACTAGTGGAAATCCCTGTTTTATTTACAGGAAGGCTATGGCTGCAGGCAAGAAATTCGGGCTGAGCTAATGGAATAAAAATAATTCTTAGAAAATTAATTAACACTAAACAATAAAATAAATCTAATACCAGTATTCTGCAATAAAGTCTGTTTCATTATGAAGGTAAGAGGGTTTAAATGTAAATAATATAATGCATTTCAAATTCCCTACCGTTCAAAAGTGCCGGCGTTTCAAATCAAATACACTACCATTCAAATGTTTTTTTTCAAAGAAATGAATACTATTAATTCAGCAAAGATGCAATGAATTGATAAAAAATTACAGTAAATAAAGATAGATTTCTATTTCAAATAAATAATGTTCTTTTGAAATTTCTATTCAAAGAATCCAATTTTTTTTTTTTTTTGAAAAATACGGTTTCCATAGAAATATGAACTTGCAGAACTGTTTTCAACTGTGATAAGAAATGTTTCTTGACCAAATCAGCATGTTAGAATGATGGTTAAAAATCAAATTCATTCAAAGATTTTAGACCTTTTTTAAGACCGTTCAAATGTTTTTTTTCAAAGAAATGAATACTATTAATTCAGCAAAGATGCAATGAATTGATAAAAAATTACAGTAAATAAAGATAGATTTCTATTTCAAATAAATAATGTTCTTTTGAAATTTCTATTCATCAAAGAATCCAAATTTTTTTTTTTTTTTGAAAAATACGGTTTCCATAGAAATATGAACTTGCAGAACTGTTTTCAACTGTGATAAGAAATGTTTCTTGACCAAATCAGCATGTTAGAATGATGGTTAAAAATCAAATTCATTCAAAGATTTTAGACCTTTTTTAAGACCTGTACAAATAAAATGAATGTCCCTACAGACTAAATCCATAAAATCTCAAAATAAATCATGTATCTCAGATTCTTTTACTTAATTAAAAAGACTTGAGCACACATAAAAAATAAATAAATAAAAAACAAATAAAAATAATAATGCCCCTTATCAGCAAAAAGTCAAAGGTGCTAAAATACACACTCTTACAAGCATCTACAACATATTACAATAAATGCATTAAGTAAACCTTGTCATAATTCATCAATTGTAGATCACAAGCAATCGATTGGCAAAAACGTGCAGTATTCATTTAATTCCAACTGCTTTGAAACATGAAATCCTTGTCTTTTGAAGTTTAATAATCACATTAGGCTGTATTGGTGCAGCATTGGTGAGAAAAAAAAAACTTTTTCAGCTGCAAATTTTTGACCGGTAGTGTACATGAGCCTGTAAGAAAACAAAACGTGTTTCTTATTGTCATGGGTTTCCGCAAATCAACAATGGAAAAACAATCCTCTTCCACGTGAATGAAGACTGACGCTTAGTCAGTCTGCAACCATACTACAGAAACTTCCTGTCTGTATGGCAGTTCCTGTAGCACCACAAAGCCCTATCACTCATTTTCCTTCCTGTGCCATGTCCCTCGACTCAAAGTGACCCTACAGATATTGCATTTTGCACCGGAGGGAACAGTACATATAATTACTGCTGTACATTGTCTTAAAACTAAAGTTTTGTAAAGTTTCACGTCACAAGAAATACAGGCAAGTTCATTGTTTTTATGTATATAATCTATTCTTCTGTTTGGATGAAAGAGGACTCGGACATTATGTCTTGAGTACGTTTGTGTGCTGTACCTCTCTCAGTGTCGCGTGTGGTGCGGCTGTAGGTGGAAGTGAGACCGCTCAGGCTGTTGGGCCGGTTCAGAGAGGAGGTGCTGTACAGAGAAGAGGAGGAAGGCAGGGTGGAGGAGGCCGTGGTGGTCGAGGCCAAGGAGGTGCTCCGGTACTTCTGGAGGACAAAAAAAGAAAAGAAATTCATGTGACATTAAAAAACTAGAATGCTAGTTAGAATTCTCTGTGAACGGGGAAAAGAAAGGAGTTTTCCTCACCTCTTCAAAGCTGCGGTAGCGTGACCTGTAGTCATCCTCCTTGGTCTCTGTCTCTTTCTTCTCTTCTTGTTTCTCCTTGTCCTGTTTCTCCTTCTCTTCTTTCTCCTCTTCTCGAGGCCGTGTGGAGCGACTGCGACCGATGGTCTTCTCTGCCTCCTGGAGATCAGTCAAGGTCACACCCTGAAAAAAAAAAAACAAGGTCAAAGGGTCAAAATCATACCATTCATTTCTGAGTCTGCTAAACAGCCCCCCAAATTGTTATGGTCTCAATTATGTTGTCATTATTTTTATAACTGCAACAATATATATTCTGTTAATAAGAACCAGGGCCGGGCAGTACTATGATACCATGCTACAATAAAAATATATCAATAATGTTTACTTATGATTAATATTTTTAATAATCATTTAAATAGATACATTTTTTTTAATATATAATATTTACTCAAATATATCAATAATAAATTGATAATTTAAATAATAATAAAATCACATGTAGAAAACTATACATGTACACGTAAACTGTCACAAAAGGGCATTTTCATTTTTCAACAGCTTTAAACTTCACCCAATTGAAGATGATTTGAAGACAGGCATTTCCACATGATTATGTAATGTATAATTTAAGTAAATATTCTATTATGGTGTTTTATGTTGAGCCCTTAGTTATAACCAATGAGGAAACATGGCCTTGCTTTTGAAGAAGGAAAAACTCAAGTTATCTCTCTGTTGTAAACGGTTATTTCTCCCATAAATCCCTGCCACGTCGCAGAGCTGTTCCAGGAAGCATATTCCAAAACCGAAGAACCAACAAAATCTCACAAAAAATACAGTGATAGAATCATGTAAACAGCGCTGTGGATCTGCCTATTATTAGAGAGACTTCCTGCAGAGGCGTTTAGATGATTGTCTAGACTTGCCTGTGTGGACCTCCTGGACTGCCGCGCCTGTCTGGATCTGGCTTTCCTCTGAGACTCGGACTCTTCGTCACGCACAGGGGTGAGGTATGATCTACAGACACAACACAAAGAAACAAAATCCTCTCAGTTAAATGTTGCCAGCTGAAGCAACACGCACTTTTGTTGAGGCTCTTAAGGGCAGCTTTAATGAGAGTAACAATAGGCTTTGGAGAATAAATTAGACAGTTCTTCCTTTATTAGGAACTGCAGCATCATACATTGTTTAAACTGAATTTAAAATGTTGACATGTAGAATCTAAATAAAAGACATTTAAAAAATCTGCCTGTTGATGCAAAAACGCTCTCAGTGATAACATGTTGCAGTGCATGTGTGTGTGTGTGTGTGTGTACCTGCGTCTCTCTCGTCCGTCAGAGCCCAGCACAGTTCCAGTAGTGGAGGTGGTAGTGGTGGTGGCTGCAGTGTTGATTGTGGGGATGACCGTGGCCGATTCTTTCTCCTTCTCCTTGTCCGTACTCTCTTCTGCCCAATACCTGTTATGCAGCGACACAATTCACTAACAGAACCTACTCTTGAGTGTTTAGTTTGGATGTTTAATTGGCTGTGTGCGTTCATACCTGGACAGCAGGCTGCGATGTCCGGTGGGTGAGGTAACAGAGGAGGTCGTTGTTGTGGAGGTGGAGGAAGAAGTGGAACTTAAAGCATCATCCTGTCTCCTTCCAAACGACCCGCTACAGCAACACAGACAACAATCAAGGGACAAAACCAAAGATAAGAGGAGAGAAAGATCGCTCTCAAAAGAAGTACCACAGGAAAGCATTCCCTCATTCTGAAAACCTGAGCAAGGTCCATAATGAACAAAACAAAACCGAAAGAAACAAACCAAATAAAGCACAGATTAAAAATAAAATGAAAAAAGTCATATAAATGAATAAGCAAACAAACCAATGATATAAAAAATATATCGCTGGGCGATATAAAGAAATCTAAGTACTGACAATATTCTATATTTAATTTCAAGCACTTACTTTGCGTAATTTGCATCTTTGATTTTTAGTTCATGTTTACTCATCTGAGAAATATTTGAATTAAAACAATACCCTGTAGACTTCATATTTGGCAATATTTGATTGAATTTTTTCTTTGCTGTGCTATCAAAACTGAATTGTCAGTTGTGAAATTTCACAGGTACTGTTGGCATCTCTTCAACTTTGATGAAAACATTGCGATATTTTAATTTATCGCCCAGCACTATATTCAGTCCATTCTAACGTATAGTATAACTCTATACCCCATAGGCAAATAAATCCCCAAAAAGCAAGAATGGCAAGCAGCTACGTGTGGGGAACACAAAGACACATGGAGGACATGGAGTGAGTGAGTGAGTGAGTGAGTGTGTGTGTTTGCTGGGGCAGGTACCTGCGGTGAATGCTGTAAGACTGATAGTAGGAGGAAGGCTGCTGCCAGGCTTTAGAGTTGTTAGGTTCCAGACTGGAGGCAGAGGAGGATTTGGCGGGCAGGTCGCGAGAGCTAGATGTGCGGCCTAACGCTAGCGTGTGAGACGTACTGCCGTGTGGATGTGGCAGGGTGAAGAGGTGAGTTAGAAGGGGGAGGACAAACATGAACACACATAGACAAAACATTACATATATGTATGAAGCACTGATTTGGTTGTGGGGGGCTCGGTTTCTTATAAAGTCATATTTTGGGGTATAAATATATCAAATAACCTCATTATACATAAAAATAGAAACCTACTTGTTATCTAGAAACCATAAGCATTAGGGGTGTAAATCAGATGGTTCGTCACGATACGATACGATATCGATTCTCATACCCAGCGATACGATATTTGCCGATATCTCAAATTATACGATAGAATAACGATTCGATCCAGGAGTATATTGATCGATATTATGATATTATTTACCTATTTTAAACAACCATCTACATTTTTATTAACTCACAAATGCAACCAAAATATATAACATGATAATTTCTCTGAAATTTGGGACATTCACAACAAAACAAAAAATAGGCCTACACTTTTCTACACATTTTTTTAAATAATAAAGAAAATAAACAATTGGAAAACTGCTATGGGCTCAGAGCGAAAATCTTTTCTACAGATAACCAAATTAAAAGCAATAGCAGAAAATAAATACAATATAACAAAGACACAAGTTCAATAAACAGTGCTTTTCCGGTTTTTCAGCTCAGTCTAAAATAAATTTTCAGGTACGCTACAGAAATACAATAATCAAATGTAAAATAACTGCATAGTCCTCACTGTATAAATTAAATATAGATTAATCATTTTTGATGTTACAAAGGTTATTTAGTCAGGAGCAGTGAGCACTTGTATTTTTGTATTTTTCTTTGATGGCATTAGATTTATTATTAGTTTGCTTTCACTTTAAGAACGAAAGCACAGATTTAATATACTGATACACATGCCTTTTCTTTCTCAACCGTTTACGTTAAGACATATGCCTAACCGACTGTGTTTACTAGGATATTCGCCAAAACGTGCATTTTGATGTAATTTTGTCTCCATTTATTCATCCATGCACAAAAAAGTGGAAGAGAGCTCAATTTAGTATTCATGCGGTGTAGACGCGGCTGTCTGTGTGTGTGTGCGCGCAGAAAACTTCTCACACAGTGCTCGACTGTTCCTCCAACAATTCTGAGCGTCTTTTATTCTCACCTTGAGCCTTCGGGCAGTTCTTATATCGAGTCCTGATACGTGAGTTTGAACGAGAATGCACGCGTTGGCGGTAATGCATAGACGGACATTATGTGAAAATGTGGACAGTGCCAAAATAAAGGTGCCTATTTATACTACAGATATCGATATTTTACGCGTGGCATCGATGCACCGTATCATCAGACATCGTATCGATGTATCGATCCATATCGATGAATCGTTACACCCCTACTTTTCAACTAGTTAGGCTAGGAGACCAGCTTAAACTAGCTATAAAACTAGCAGAGTTAAGGCTCATTTTAGGTGTCTATGGAGTTCAGTGTCTTTGATTGACACGTTCAAACCATACGTTTCTTGGTTGGTGTGTGTTCTTTCCTTCTCGCCTCACTTTAATTACACACTCAGGCCATCTTGCCACCTCAGCCCCTGCCAAGCCTCACCCTGTCCTTCCTCTTTTTTTCCTCCAGGTGATGGAACAGTCCACAGTTATGAAGCTTCCTCCTTTACCAGTCTCTCTCATCGCCTTGGCCTGGTACAATGAGAACGACAGATAAGAGTTTTCATTATCTGGCCCCTCTCTTGGGACGCTCCCCACTCTATCTCTCCCTCTCTTTCTCTCTCTATCAGACTCAAAGGGCTTTTTTAAATAGGGAGACCGTCCAGTTGATGGCCGTGGCATCTTTTTGTCTTTTGTTCTAAATAAAAGACATTTAAAAAATCTGCCTGTTGATGCAAAAACGCTCTCAGTGATAATATGGTGCAGTACATGTGTGTGTGTGTGTGTGTACCTGCGTCTCTCTCGTCCGTCAGAGCCCAGCACAGTTCCAGTAGTGGAGGTGGTAGTGGTGGTGGCTGCAGTGTTGATTGTGGGGATGACCGTGGCCGATTCTTTCTCCTTCTCCTTGTCCGTACTCTCTTCTGCCCAATACCTGTTATGCAGCGACACAATTCACTAACAGAACCTACTCTTGAGTGTTTAGTTTGGATGTTTAATTGGCTGTGTGCGTTCATACCTGGACAGCAGGCTGCGATGTCCGGTGGGTGAGGTAACAGAGGAGGTCGTTGTTGTGGAGGTGGAGGAAGAAGTGGAACTTAAAGCATCATCCTGTCTCCTTCCAAACGACCCGCTACAGCAACACAGACAACAATCAAGGGACAAAACCAAAGATAAGAGGAGAGAAAGATCGCTCTCAAAAGAAGTACCACAGGAAAGCATTCCCTCATTCTGAAAACCTGAGCAAGGTCCATAATGAACAAAACAAAACCGAAAGAAACAAACCAAATAAAGCACAGATTAAAAATAAAATGAAAAAAAGTCATATAAATGAATAAGCAAACAAACCAATGATATAAAAAATATATCGCTGGGCGATATAAAGAAATCTAAGTACTGACAATATTCTATATTTAATTTCAAGCACTTACTTTGCGTAATTTGCATCTTTGATTTTTAGTTCATGTTTACTCATCTGAGAAATATTTGAATTAAAACAATACCCTGTAGACTTCATATTTGGCAATATTTGATTGAATTTTTTCTTTGCTGTGCTATCAAAACTGAATTGTCAGTTGTGAAATTTCACAGGTACTGTTGGCATCTCTTCAACTTTGATGAAAACATTGCGATATTTTAATTTATCGCCCAGCACTATATTCAGTCCATTCTAACGTATAGTATAACTCTATACCCCATAGGCAAATAAATCCCCAAAAAGCAAGAATGGCAAGCAGCTACGTGTGGGGAACACAAAGACACATGGAGGACATGGAGTGAGTGAGTGAGTGAGTGAGTGTGTGTGTTTGCTGGGGCAGGTACCTGCGGTGAATGCTGTAAGACTGATAGTAGGAGGAAGGCTGCTGCCAGGCTTTAGAGTTGTTAGGTTCCAGACTGGAGGCAGAGGAGGATTTGGCGGGCAGGTCGCGAGAGCTAGATGTGCGGCCTAACGCTAGCGTGTGAGACGTACTGCCGTGTGGATGTGGCAGGGTGAAGAGGTGAGTTAGAAGGGGGAGGACAAACATGAACACACATAGACAAAACATTACATATATGTATGAAGCACTGATTTGCTTGTGGGGGGCTCGGTTTCTTATAAAGTCATATTTTGGGGTATAAATATATCAAATAACCTCATTATACATAAAAATAGAAACCTACTTGTTATCTAGAAACCATAAGCATTAGGGGTGTAAATCAGATGGTTCGTCACGATACGATACGATATCGATTCTCATACCCAGCGATACGATATTTGCCGATATCTCAAATTATACGATAGAATAACGATTCGATCCAGGAGTATATTGATCGATATTATGATATTATTTACCTATTTTAAACAACCATCTACATTTTTATTAACTCACAAATGCAACCAAAATATATAACATGATAATTTCTCTGAAATTTGGGACATTCACAACAAAAAAAAAATAGGCCTACACTTTTCTACACATTTTTTTAAATAATAAAGAAAATAAACAATTGGAAAACTGCTATGGGCTCAGAGCGAAAATCTTTTCTACAGATAACCAAATTAAAAGCAATAGCAGAAAATAAATACAATATAACAAAGACACAAGTTCAATAAACAGTGCTTTTCCGGTTTTTCAGCTCAGTCTAAAATAAATTTTCAGGTACGCTACAGAAATACAATAATCAAATGTAAAATAACTGCATAGTCCTCACTGTATAAATTAAATATAGATTAATCATTTTTGATGTTACAAAGGTTATTTAGTCAGGAGCAGTGAGCACTTGTATTTTTGTATTTTTCTTTGATGGCATTAGATTTATTATTAGTTTGCTTTCACTTTAAGAACGAAAGCACAGATTTAATATACTGATACACATGCCTTTTCTTTCTCAACCGTTTACGTTAAGACATATGCCTAACCGACTGTGTTTACTAGGATATTCGCCAAAACGTGCATTTTGATGTAATTTTGTCTCCATTTATTCATCCATGCACAAAAAAGTGGAAGAGAGCTCAATTTAGTATTCATGCGGTGTAGACGCGGCTGTCTGTGTGTGTGCGCGCGCAGAAAACTTCTCACACAGTGCTCGACTGTTCCTCCAACAATTCTGAGCGTCTTTTATTCTCACCTTGAGCCTTCGGGCAGTTCTTATATCGAGTCCTGATACGTGAGTCTGAACGAGAATGCACGCGTTGGCGGTAATGCATAGACAGACATTATGTGAAAATGTGGACAGTGCCAAAATAAAGGTGCCTATTTATACTACAGATATCGATATTTTACGTGTGGCATCGATGCATCGTATCGTAGACGCGGCTGTCTGTGTGTGTGTGCGCGCAGAAAACTTCTCACACAGTGCTCGACTGTTCCTCCAACAATTCTGAGCGTCTTTTATTCTCACCTTGAGCCTTCGGGCAGTTCTTATATCGAGTCCTGATACGTGAGTTTGAACGAGAATGCACGCGTTGGCGGTAATGCATAGACAGACATTATGTGAAAATGTGGACAGTGCCAAAATAAAGGTGCCTATTTATACTACAGATATCGATATTTTACGTGTGGCATCGATGCATCGTATCGTCAGACATCGTATCGATGTATCGATCCATATCGATTAATCGTTACACCCCTAATAAGCATGCTATATAAAATAAAGATCCAACACTCCAGCATGCTTTGTTTTTATCAGAGTACGAAACCAAACCAGGTGCAGTCATGCCAATTCATCGTTACACAATGACACACAAGCGCTCGGGTCATTAGGATGGTTTGGGGTGCTTTCATCTTTAGACCAGGGTTTTCAAACTAGGGAAAATTTGAGGGAATTTTACAAAATGTTTTTTTTATGTCCATCAAAGTTAGAATGCAAAGTCTAAATATTAATTAAATATATGCATATTTATAATTTAAGACATTTAATGAAAGTACGGTCTCGATTCCGATTCCAACTGATCGAAAATCATGACATTCATTATTCAGATTATTTTTAGTTCTACTGACAGCTCGAGTGGGAAACTGTAATAAACAAATCTGCATATAGTTTTGACTTCATAATATGACTTAAACATACTATCATTCAAAAGTTTGGGGTCGGTCAGATTTTTGGATGTTTTTGAGAGAAGTCTCTTATGCTCACCAAGGCTACATTTATTTGAGCAAAAATACAGTAAAACAGTAATACTGTGAAATATTATTACATTTTAAAAGAACTGCTTTCTATTTGTATATATTTTTTAAATGTAATGTATTTCTGTGATGGCAGTCATTCCTCCAGTCTTCAGTGTCACATGATCCTTCAGGAATCATTCTAATATGCAGATTTGCTGCTCAAGATGTGCACATTTCTTATTATTATCAGCACTGAAAACAATTGTGCCGTTTCTCTATTTTTGTGGAAACCGTGATTGTTTTTTTTTAAGCATTTATTTGAAATAGAAATCTTTTGTAACAAAGCAAATGCCTTTACTATCACTTTTAAACAAATGTAATGCATTCTTGCTAAATAAAATATTAATTTCTTAAACAAAATAAACTGTACTGACCCCAGATGGTAAATAAAGGCATATTACAACACGTTATCTAATATCATAATTATTTTTGTAAAAGTATAATAATATTTTATTTTTCTACTCTATTCTATTCTATTAAATGTATGCATGAAAATACAGCTGCCTTTGTATTTCAGGAATTTATATGCTTTTCAAATTCCTTGAAAGGGAATCATCATGTTTGTGCGATCTTGGCATTTTAGACATGCTCAAAAGACTAACTAAAAGACCATACAATGACAGGGAGCCGAGACTCTACAGTTCTACTCAAGTTAGCTGTTAGTCTCTAAACTACAATATAGGGATGCACGATATATCGGCCACCATATCAGTATCGGCCGATAAATGCTCATTTTTTCTGTTATCGGTATCGGCCCGATAAGAAAATTTGGCCGATATCTTTAAGCCGATAAATAATGCATTATTTCCTTCAGAGACACTTCAGACGCGTGCTGTTCGTTTGCAGCCTTTTGTGCAATTGTACGTTACAATCGAAGCGTCACACGCAAACTCAAGCCGACAGAAGCCGCTATAAATGCTTGACGGCAACATAAAGGTTCTAGAAGCATATCAGAGCAGCAGGAAACAGCGACTGGCTTTTGCCCATCTCTTTGAAAGTCTGAGCTCCTAGCCAGTAAAACCAATATCGTTACTAGAATAAAAGCTAACCTGCGCTGATAGCTGGAGGTTCTGTTTTGTGAGGCGGTTCCGTCGCTGTTCTAGATTTGCTGCTCAAGATGTGCACATTTCTTATTATTATCAGCACTGAAAACAATTGTGCCGTTTCTCTATTTTTGTGGAAACCGTGATTGTTTTTTTTTAAGCATTTATTTGAAATAGAAATCTTTTGTAACAAAGCAAATGCCTTTACTATCACTTTTAAACAAATGTAATGCATTCTTGCTAAATAAAATATTAATTTCTTAAACAAAATAAACTGTACTGACCCCAGATGGTAAATAAAGGCATATTACAACACGTTATCTAATATCATAATTATTTTTGTAAAAGTATAATAATATTTTATTTTTCTACTCTATTCTATTCTATTAAATGTATGCATGAAAATACAGCTGCCTTTGTATTTCAGGAATTTATATGCTTTTCAAATTCCTTGAAAGGGAATCATCATGTTTGTGCGATCTTGGCATTTTAGACATGCTCAAAAGACTAACTAAAAGACCATACAATGACAGGGAGCCGAGACTCTACAGTTCTACTCAAGTTAGCTGTTAGTCTCTAAACTACAATATAGGGATGCACGATATATCGGCCACCATATCAGTATCGGCCGATAAATGCTCATTTTTTCTGTTATCGGTATCGGCCCGATAAGAAAATTTGGCCGATATCTTTAAGCCGATAAATAATGCATTATTTCCTTCAGAGACACTTCAGACGCGTGCTGACTGTTGATAAATCTATTACAGTGCTAAACTAACTTCTATCAAAACATCGCTCATCATAGTAGTTGGAGAGATGCTAATAAAAGACATTTGAGAGTCTTCTCATGTACAAGATGAATGTTGTGCATAAGCCACAAAAACATGCTACACTTGAGCGTGCGCTCCTCACACTGCAACACACAACATGGAGCAGTAGGAGGCGCTCTCACAATTGCATCCTGTCTTTACCTGTTTTCCTTCTCATCAATGTCCGATGTGCTAACGTGTCTCCTCGGGATGGTTGGTGCAACATATGCCAGGCGTGTCTTCTCCTGTGTAAATAAACGAAAAAGAAGTGTCAGTTGATGTTGTTGTGGCTCAAGAAAACGTATCAATTTGGAAACAAGAGTGCAATCTCTCTGCAAAACAGCTCCACCCTTCCAATTAAAAGGTTTACAAGAATATATCACCCCAAATTAAACAACTAAGTTCCAGTAGACCTTTTCCTTGTCCTTATTGTCCAGTGAGGATGAGAGGCGAGGAGAAGAAGCCGAGCGCATCACCCCGGCTGTGTCCTTCTCTTTCTGTGCCTCTTTAGTTGTGCTGATTTCTGCCAGTGCTCCGTAACTGCCGGTTTTCCGCAGGCCCAGTCGCCACGATGCAGGAGACTCATCCTTCCTCTCCTCCTCTTTAGGAGACACCTTCCCTGTAGGTGTGCTCACCTGAGGACGACAAACAACAGAAGCAACATAAAGGTTCTAGAAGCATATCAGAGCAGCAGGAAACAGCGACTGGCTTTTGCCCATCTCTTTGAAAGTCTGAGCTCCTAGCCAGTAAAACCAATATTGTTACTAGAATAAAAGCTAACCTGCGCTGATAGCTGGAGGTTCTGTTTTGTGAGGCGGTTCCGTCGCTGTTCTTCAGGTCTTCTTCCCAGCGTCTCCTGGTGTACGAGCCACTACGTACCAGACTAGCAGCCGAATCCCTGAGAACCAAATGCTACAAATAGCACCTCCGATTCCAGAGCACAGCTGTTGATAAATCTATTACAGTGCTAAACTAACTTCTATCAAAACATCGCTCATCATAGTAGTTGGAGAGATGCTAATAAAAGACATTTGATAGTCTTCTCATGTACAAGATGAATGTTGTGCATAAGCCACAAATACATGCTCCACTTGAGAGTGCGCTTCTCACACTGCAACACACAACATGGAGCAGTAGGAGGCGCTCTCACAATTGCATCCTGTCTTTACCTGTTTTCCTTCTCATCAATGTCCGATGTGCTAACGTGTCTCCTCGGGATGGTTGGTGCAACATATGCCAGGCGTGTCTTCTCCTTCTCCTGTGTAAATAAACGAAAAAGACGTGTCAGTTGATGTTGTTGTGGCTCAAGAAAACGTATCAATTTGGAAACAAGAGTGCAAAATGATCTCAAGAAATGAACGCAAACAGCTCCACCCTTCCAATTAAAAGGTTTACAAGAATATATCACCCCAAATTAAACAACTAAGTTCCAGTAGACCTTTTCCTTGTCCTTATTGTCCAGTGAGGATGAGAGGCGAGGAGAAGAAGCCGAGCGCATCACCCCGGCTGTGTCCTTCTCTTTCTGTGCCTCTTTAGTTGTGCTGATTTCTGCCAGTGCTCCGTAACTGCCGGTTTTCCGCAGGCCCAGTCGCCACGATGCAGGAGACTCATCCTTCCTCTCCTCCTCTTTAGGAGACACCTTCCCTGTAGGTGTGCTCACCTGAGGACGACAAACAACAGATAAAGAAAGGGATGGGAGTGGAAAACAAAAGTTAGTTAGTTTTGGGAGTATATCAAGACTTTTTTATGCAATTTACAATTAGGGAAGGTCAACATCTAAGAAGCCCAAATTCCAACCATATAATATTTTGATCACAGGAATATCTAGAGCACACACTTGTGCAGTGATGGTATTTACTAGACCACAGACAGCATACATTGTAAAACAACATTAAGGGTTGTTCAGAACAGGGAATTGGATCAGCCTGACAGGTCAAAGCAGGGCATAAATATGGGAGCATTGGTTTTGATATTTTCAGAATTGTATGTACATCTCAATATTTATGTATATGCTCTGAAATTATTTAAACTAATCGGAAAATCCACTAGCTCGATCTTCAGGAAACGCAATGGCCAAAAAAAACACAATGATGCTTAATTTTAAACGGCCAACAAAATAATATATAGTATATAGTAAATATTCTTTAAAAAATACAGTTAAAATAAATAAAGTATTTAAAAAATAAATACATATTTTATTTAAAAAAAATAGATAGTAATAGCAATGTAAAAAAAAAAAATATATATATATATTTTTTATATATATATATATATACACACACACACACACACACACACACACACACTTAAACACATTTAAAATAAAAAATATTCAGGGAACACTTTAATTAGGGACCAATTATCTTTATTGACTAGTTGCTTATTAGCATGCATATTATTAACATATTAGCTGTTTGTTAGTACTTATAAAGCACATATTTTGCATGACCATATTTTAGATAGCTTAATCCTACCCAATACCTAAACTTAACAACTACCTTACTATTAACAAGCAGCATTTATTGAGGCAAAAGTTGTAGTTAATAGTTAGTTATTAGCGAGAATTAGTCCTCAAATTAAAGCGAGACTATATTTTATAAATAAAAATTAATAGCCATTTAAAAAAAATTTTTTTTTATAACAAATAAATAAATACCCATTTTAATAAATCAAACAATCAATCAATGGCCAGCCCTAATGCTGCTAAAATTCAAAAATAAACTTCAAGGGAAAGCAGTGGGGGCCGTTTTGAACCGTTTAGTGGTTTTCATTGCTTCAGAAATGCACATTTGCATTACAATCGTTTACTTAAAAGAGCACTAGGCCTAAGATAGTGAGCATACTGAATAACAACACAGATGACAAAACCAAACATGCCCAATTTCAATCGAGATGTTAGTTTTTGCTAACTCGTCAGCATCCTGGTGACCTGTTAAGGTTTAGAGTCAATGGTAAATGAATTCACCCTTATCAAAGTACACACAGCACTGAAGTCACCACGTCATATTTAGTCCACCACAATCAGGTATAAAACTATATCATAATGATTTTCAACCGAAAGCAGTACGTCATCACACCCGCGACTGAAAACGACAACACCATGCAGTGAGCCAGTGACAGGAAGAGGAAATGGTCTTGGATTAGGCAGTTATCTGATTGGTTAGGGATGTGGTCACGTGGGAGAACATATAGGGCGGGCGGGAATCACAATGCTGAACACACCGAGGCCTCACCATCGCTTTTTTGGGCACAAGTGAAATGCCAGTTTTGCGCAAGCCTTGACGCCACAACGCAGGACAGCCTGGCTCCCCCCCAGGCACAAGGGCAGTAATGTTATCAGACTAAAGCCATCCAAGACAACAGCAAAGATGAGTAGAGAGAGAAAAACAGATGATTGTGAAGAAAAGAAAAGCAAAAAAAGGGAGAACGAACCCCTGAATGAAATAAATCAAAAAGCAGCACCAGCAGCAGCAAAAGAAACAGATACTTGATGCACGTTTTTGTCTAAAAAAAAAAAAACAAAAAAAAAAAAATTGAATTTGATTTTATTATATTAATTAGGT